TGAGGAAGAAGAGGGGTCGGAAGAAAATGTAGACGTATGGGATGATAGCGCGCTAATTTCTGCTTGGGAAAAAGCGTGGAAAGAATATCAGGTTATTAATAAATAAGTACACAGATGTTTGAATTTCTCTTCATTGTTGATCGAGGTCTATTAAAACCAATTATAAAAATGCGGAATGACATGAATGATGAATATAGGATCACCATAGCCTTAAAGCAACATCGAAAACTGCCGCAGCAGCAACATCCTCATCATCTAAGGCAGACCAAAAGAAGATTATCATTGATATCGATAAAAATAAATCGCAAACACCTGGTGCAGAAATGACGACGACGAGTGATCATAGAAGTACACAAACAACAACGCAAGAGGCCCTTCCTGAGAATCAAGAGATTAAACCTGGAATGAAGGTGATATTTCTATCAATGTCGGATTCAGAACCATAATTCACATAAAAAATGTATTAATCAAGGAATAAATGCATAGAAAAAAACCCGAATACGTCCAAACATTGAAACTACCACTAATATATCTAACGACGAAGCAACATGGGGAAAATCAACATATCAACAGTATCCCTACTATCATCATTATTATCCAACATCATCGTCGTCTTATTACAATTACTGGCCGCCATCTAATACAGTTGTGCAAGATGAGACTACAACGCAGCATCAATTTCCTGCTTCGCCACTGCCAAAGACTACACCTACACCATCTCCATTTCCACCACCACCTTTACATTACAGTTATTATCCGTATGGTCCTCCTCCTCTCTCGCATTCATATGTACGTTTTAACTTGGAAATATATTACATCTTTTCCGTTATATTGAGTTTTGGGAGTTTTACATATTGTTCTCTACTATTTAATTTAATCCGAATTAATGGCTCACATTACATATAGGGACCTCCACCACCTAGGCCACCAATGGTTGAAACAGGTATGAATTTTTTTTTCCGGTAAACCGTTTATTTTTGATATTTAATTAAAAATAAAATATTTGTGATTCTGATTAGATGATGAAACACTCGCCAACTTATTAATGGCATGGTATTTTTCTGGCTATTACACAGGCTTGTATCAAGTTAGTAGTATGAAGGTTAGGAATGAATTACCTTTTGTGCTATATGATCAATAGTTTTCTTTTTTTTTTGTGTTAGGGTCAAAGACGATAATGAACACGGTAATACAAATATCAGTATGGCAGGATATGGTTATCGTTATACTGTTTCGTCATTATATATGATAACCATGTTTAACTTATAAGTCACAAAATAACGCATTTCAGATCTACATGTCTTATGAATTCTTTTACCATTAATAAATACATCATTGGTTCTTCATATGAATTTAATATCCATCGAATTTTGATCCTTGGGTAACTTTTACATTTTTGAAATTTGACTTTAAGACATTTCTTGGAAGTTAGGGAAAACATTCATAATCGTATATAAATCCGTAAATAAATTATTCATTCGGTTCAGTAACACATCCAGTACTAATTTGGATTCTGAATGAATTCGATTAAAAGTTAGGATTTTGATCCAGAAAGCATATCGATTGATATGATTATTGTCCCCAGGAAAAGCATCGTCTCGAATTAAAGAAACTCGTGAAATCCATAACTCCCATACTCTTACCTGGACCCCTAATATTTCACATAAAAATTCATATAACTGTCATATTGAATGATATCCGCATTTATCGGCACAACCTCATTAATTAAAAGTATAAATTTTCTTGCGCTTGTTACAGAAGAATAAAATTCGTAATAACCTACTGGTGGTACAAATTATGCCACAGTTCCAAAACTGGAAACTAATCAATATTTTTTGCCATAACGATAAATAAGGGATAGCGTGTAACGTCCACGTGGAAAATCAAAATTACTAAGAGATCATCTTATGAGATCTAATTTCTGTACGCTAAACATGTGAAAAATAAAACGTATAATGGATAGCATATGGTATCTTGGCAACTCAAAATAAGGCACGTCGTCCAAAACCGCTTGCATCTCCATAACAACAACTCTCATTCTTTTCCTTTTCTCATATAAACAATCTAAACTAACAAAAGCAAAATGCCTGCACCAGTAACAACAGAAAGCGTAGTCGAAGATTGGGTTTTCTTTCCGGACGGTGTACAATTTTACACAAAAACTTGGAAGGTATTAAAAATTAGCTTAAAAGAAATCTAGCAAGCGCGTCAACATCATGGAAATCTATTCAAGCGTTAAAGCATGGACTTATTTATTCTTTTCGTAATGAATAGGCATTTTTTGAACCACCGGTTGCCACAGTTGTATTCGTTCATGGTTTTGGCGAACATGTAAATCGATATGATCACGTATTCGAAAAATTTCAGCAAAAAAATATAGAAGTTTTTGCATACGATCAACGCGGATTTGGGCAAACCGCGGCACGTAATAAGAATCCGGGTGTGACGAGCTGGAAACTCGCGACCGCGGATATTACACATGCTCTTCGTTTAAACAGGCGTGAAGGCATTCCTCAGTTTTTATTTGGTCATAGTATGGTAATTAATAATGTTTCTGTTTTTAGACTTAAGTTGACTTAATTCGATACATAATACGCTGCTTAAAAATGTATAGGGTGGTGCACTTGCTGCTAACTATGCAACAGAAGGACCGGAACGAGATAATGTAACTGGCTTCCTAATCTCTGCTCCTTTCTTGAACCAAGCTGCTCCTACCAAAACGCCGCAATCGAACGTATACCTGGTATCTGCAGTTTCAAAAGTTTTACCGAGCTTCCAAGTTGGCATAAAATTACCCCCAGAATACTTGAGTCGCGTCCCTGAAGAAGTTAGGAAGTACGAGGATGACCCGTTTGTTCATAGTATTGGTTCTTTGGGTGGAAGTGAGTATATTTTTTTTATTTAGATATTTTATATTTCACTAATTGACTCATGATTATTACAGTCTCTGACATGTTACATGGTCCGAAATCCGTGTTGAAATCAAAATACAAAAATATCACAAAGCCAATATTCATGGTACATGGAGATGAAGATAAGATTACTTGTTTCAAAACCTCCAAAGAATTTTTCGAGAAGATCCCATCAAAGGATAAAACTTTTCGTGAATGGAAAGGAGGATATCATGAACGTAAGCTACATTTTATTGCTATTGTTTTGCATTCCTATAATTTCT